ACGGGCAACTTCTTTTGGAGTTCTGGAGTCCTTTGAGGGCGGACGCTAGAGAGGACAGCCCAACAGCCAAAGTATGGGAGCACAGCGACACCTGGCTCCGGTGGGAGATGCATTCTCCTTCTGCAAGGGCTGAGGGACCTGCCGGGGGCGTGGCCGCCTGCCGGGGCGTGGCCGCCTGCCGGGGCGTGGCCTCGGGGTCGGAGAGCATGCTACGCGGGTGTCATGGCGACTTCCAGGCTTGGTTCTGTCCGCGGCGCCAGGCCGTTCGGTTTGGCCGGTCTGTTCCGTCGCCGGCCGCCTCGGGACGTGTGGGACCGTGTGCGGCGGCTCCCGGGGCCCTCGGCGGTTCGGCGTAGCGTGGCGGCGGCCAGCGGGCCCGGCATTCCGGGTTCCGACCACTACTGCCTGGAGCTGCTGAGGTGAGCGGCCGCGCTGCCCCGGGACGTCCCCGAGAACGGGAGCCTGCGGGGCGGGGAGTGAGCTGGACCGCATCCTCCCCGCCCTGCCTTCTGCCCTGATCTGGGGCTGCGTCCTGCACGCCCTGCCTTCTGCTGACCTCCCTGCGGGTGCCTGTTCACGTGGCCCCGGAATCCTGTCGTGATTTCTTCCCCTGCTCAACGCGTTCCCTGCCTGAACCCTAATTCTAAGGGACCTTGCATGCAATGTAAGCATGCAACCTTTGCTTGCTTAGCACTTTTTATTCATAGGCAGCTAGTGACTTTAACACCGTTGAGTGACCTTGGGGTTCGGTGTGCTCTGCACTATTAAAAGAATTTCACAGGGGCTGAGGATTTAGCTCTGTTGGCCGAATACTTGCCTAGGATGCACCAGGGTTAGAGCAAGGGCGTCATAGAAAACCTGGAACACTTCTTAGTAGAGAGAGAGGCGGGTTCAAGGTTATTGTGGGTCACATATCAGCCTCATGAAGCTGTACTAGAAATTGTTTACAAAATTAAAGTCCAAAGCAAGTTATTTTACAGTCCCTACAAACTGAGAATCCCATCAAGGGTTGTAAGAATTAGAGCATTTAGGAGCTGGAGTTCCTGGGCACTAGGTAAGCGGCGCGGTGAATAGACATTTGTGTACGCAAAAAAACCTCATATACCTAAGAATAAGTACAATTTTAAAAATAAAGCTTTAACAATTAGAGCATTTAGTTCAATTGTTAGCACATAGTTAGGTTAGTATTTAATAGACAGATGATCACACTTTATGTCACATCAAGGGAACAAGGAATTTGCCTGAGATTTACTAGAACAATCTCGTGATGTATCTGGAAATTCATCTGGGAGTTCCTCCATAGACAGTGTGGGGATGTGGGGTGGGCCTGCCTTGGAGTAGAGCCCTGCCAACGTTTATGGTTTAATCACATCTGCCCTCTCTACCCCTGTAGTTTGCCCTTCCCTGATAACAGTGGCAACTGGTACAGTTTTGTTTGATTTGAGACAGGTTTTTTGTTTGTTTGTTTCTTTATTTTGTTTTTAAATTTTTTTATTTTTAGCTTTTCAATATGTTTTCTCTGTGTAACAGCCCTGACTCACTCTGTACACCAGGCTAGCCTTAAACTCACAGAGATCCGCCTGCCTCTGCCTTTGGAGTGCTGGGATTAAAGGCGTGTGCCACCACTGCCTGGCTGAGGCAGAGCCTTTATGTAGACATGGTTGGCTGTGTAGACCAGGCTGGCCTGAAAGTCCCAGCCTCTGCCTCCCGAGTGTCACCGTTTTGGCTTGTTGTTTGTTTGCTTGTTTTCTGCATTTGTTTGTTTGTTTTCCAAGACAGGGTTTCTGTGTAGCTTTGGAGCCTGTTCTGGAACTAGCTCTTGTAGACCAGGCTGGCCTCGAACTCACGGAGATGCACCTGCCTCTGCCTCCCGAGTGCTGGGATTAAAGGCGTATGCCACCACTGCCCGGCGTTTTCTGCTTTTAAACAGAACCACCACCAAAGCTTTATTAAAGTAACTAAATCCCCTTGGATTTGATTAGGGAAATAAATCCTAAACTTTATTAATATAACTAAATCCTCTTGAATTTGATTAGGGAAATAAATCCAAAATGCATTTGCTTCTGTGTTTGGTAGGTATTCTGGGTTTCCCTTCGTCCTCCCAGGTACTGAGATTATAGACTTTGGCTGTTGCCCTGCCATGTTTGTTTGCTACGTTTTCTTGTTTTATGTGTATGTGCTTTGGCTGAATGTATGTATGTAAGTACACTGTGTGCATGCCTGGTGCCACAGATCAGAGGAGGAGCCGTTGTGCTGAGGCCCCCTGGAACTGTAGCTAGTGCTCTTTGCTGCTGAGCCATGTCCCCATCCCCAGGATCTGGTTTTAAAATGTCTGCTTTCCAGGGCCTCTAAGCCAGTGGTTCTCAGTTCCTCATGTTGTGGTGATCCCCAACCATAAAATTACTTCATTGCTACTTCATAACTGCAATTTTGCTACTGTTATGAATTGTAATGTAAACATCTGTGTTTTCCATTGGTCCTAGGCGACCTCTGTGAAAGGGTTGTTCATCCCCAAGGGGTCGTGACCCACGGGTTGAGAACCACCGCCTAAATTTTATTAAAATAACTAAATCACCTTGGATTTGATTAGGGAAATAAATCCAAAATGCGTTTGTTTCTGTGTTTGGCAGGTATTCTGGGTTTCTCTCCGTCCTCCCAAGTACTGAAATTATAGGCTTTGGCTGTCGCCCTACCACATTTGTTTGCTATGTTTTCCTTAGGGTGCTGGAGACTGAACACTGTACCACTGAGCTACACAATAGCCATTATATTTCTATATAATAATAATATTATATATAATATCTAATTTATATAGCATAATAATTTATATAATAAACACAGCCTCTGGCTGTGTTTCTGAAAGCTGACTTGAAGTCGTGGACTTAAGCAGTTTCCTGCCGCAGCCTCCTGAGCACACACCACACCCAAGCTCTGGTTCTTTGGATGCTCACATTTCTGCAGACTCTTGTCAGGCTTCTTCCTGGTGCTGTTCTGACCAGTAAGTCTCTTTCATTCTTCGACTCTTTGCTGTATGCTCAAGATGTCTTTGGCTGTTTTACATTTTTCCTACCCCACTTGGGGCACCATTCTTTCAAGAATGTCTGGAGGCCTTAGGAACCAAAGTCTATCCAGGTAATTGGTGTTATTCATTGATGCTGGGAGTGTGGAGATTATTTGTGCTTCTAGGCTCTTTTAGCAAATGCAGAATACATGCACACATTGGTTTATATATCTTATTTCTGTGTCTATGTATATGTAATAAAAGCTTACTTAAACTATTTTCTTTATACCTGCCCCCATTGTCTTTGCTGGTTGTAGTTTTTGAGACAGTTTCATGTAGCCTAGGCTAGCCTCGGACTCCTGACTCTCCTTCCTCGGCTTCTGAAGTGCTGGGCTCACAAGTGTGTGCCAGCAGGTCCAGCTTTGCTTTCTCCTTTTGTAGCTTGTTCCAATTTCTACTAAAAGCAAAATATTCTGAAGCAATTACAAGTGCTTTGTAAATAAAAATAAAATATGGATTTCCTTTTTAACATTCTTGGGATGAGAAGCAGGTACTTTTTTTTTTTTAAAGAAATACTTATAGAGAAATTTAAATGATTTAAGAACCAAGCAGCTTGGTCTACAGAGTGAGTTTCAGGACAGGCTTCAGAGCTACAGAGAAACCTGTCAAACCTTCATTGTTCCCAGTTGATTTGTGTGTGCGGCTTAGCCAGCGAAGTCTAACTGCTTTTCTCTTGTTCTGTTGTAGGAAGCGGGATTATGAAAGTTACTTGTGTTCCCTGCTGTTCCCTGCAGGATGTCGAAGTTCTGTTTCTGCACTCAGGGCCTTCAACGTGGAGCTGGCTCAGGCTGGTATTAATATTGTGATGCTGTAGAATATGCATGATACTGAACCGTGAAGACATAGTGCACGCATGACAGACACCCTTACTATGTCTGCTAGGGGCTTTCTCTCCTGGTGACGGCTCAGGCTTAGTTCAGTACCAGAACATAAAACTAGCTGGTGAACTTAATATTCCTGGAAATGATTCTGGATTTTTAAGTTACAAATTTGCAGTTAGCATTGTCTGTTAATGGAATAAACTAAGGAGAATTTTTGTTGTTGTTGTTGCTTTTTCAAGACAGGGTTTCTTTGTAGCTTTGGAGCCTGTCCTGGAGCTAGCTCTTGTAGACCAGGCTGGCCTTGAATTCACAGAGATCCACCTGCCTCTGCCTCACGAGTGCTGGGATTAAAGGTGTGCACCACCACCGCCCGGCCTAACTAAGGAGAATCTTACTGCTTTCTTCAACAGTGTGTATGTAGAAGACTGGAAAACATTGAGAATCTAGTGTGAAGTGACAGTGGACAGTGTTCTGGCAGGACGGTGTGGTGGAGCACAGAGAGTCTGGCAGACCCTGGCTGGCTTCTGTGTCAGAATACAGGGGAAGACTAGAGCCTTTTTCCTTGAGGGCAGAACATGAGCAGATACCAAATGTGTAAGATGGTGTGGAAGTGAAGGGGCTGTAACCGAATGGTCTTGGTCTTCTCAGGACAGCGAGTACAGGGCCAAACACCAGGAATGAGGAATAGGGAAGTAAGGGGTCTGGAAGAGAGTGGTACACGCACGCACACCACAACACGTTACTAAGCACAGGAGTAGCGTACGGTTAATGTATAGGACAGGCTAGTGCCACTGCTAGTGCCAAGACTGTGTACCTCCTGGGAGCTCACCTTTCCTGTGGGGCCTCGGCTGCCATCCTCTGTCCCCGCAAGTCTATCCTCGGCTGAGCCCCCTTCCTGGATACTGAGGCATCCGCACCATACCATCACTCCAAGTTTTGTTGTTGTTGTTGTTGTGGGTTTTTGCTTGTTTGTTTTTTGTTTTTTGAAACAGGGTCTTTCTGTGTATCCTGAGCTTTCTTGGAACTCACTGTGTAGACCAGGCTGCCCTCCAACTCCTTTGCCTTCTTTTTTTTTGCAGAAATCTGCCTCCTGAGTGCTGGGAATAAAGATGTGTGCCATGCCAAGCTTCATGCAATTAGTCTGATATATAAGGATATGAGAGTAGGAAAATCTTTTTTGGTTTATCATTTAAAAAATTTATGTGAAAAATTTTATGTGTATGAGTATTTTGCCAGCGGGTATGTATGTACACTGCATATGTGCCTTGTGCCCATAGAGGCTAGAAGCGGGTGTTGGATCACCTGGAATTGAGCCACCATATGAGTGCTGGGAACCAAACCCCTCTGCCAGAGCAGCAAGTGCCCTCAGCTGCCGACCCATCTGTCCAGCCCTGTTGATTCACCAGTTTTGGGGGAAAATGTATGGCTGCTCGTCCTCATACAGTCGATGTTGAATAATTGAAGTTAGTCACTTAGAAATAAAAATTAAGTTGCAGATTTGGGACCCACAGTACAGGAGCAGTTCAGAGCTGATACCTGAAGCTCCTGCAGCTGGCTCACTTCCCAGTCCTTCGCAGAAATTGTCTGACCGTGTGAGCCACGAATGCTCAATTTGACATGCATGCAGAGAATCAAAGCAATGCAAATACTGTAGTGATTCTCAAAAAGCAGATTTGGAGACACAGAGTGACAGCAGGAGAAGCTGTTTGCTGAAGAAAATGACTGCTTGTTTTGATTTTTTTGAGATAGGCTCTCTTGTAACCCAGGCTGGCTTTAAACTCGTTATACAGCTGAGGATGCCTGGTCCTATCGCCTCCGCTGCGTTGGGTACAGGTTTGTGCTACCCCAGCCTTCCACCCCTAGCTCAAGAAGAAACTATTCATTTATTATTATTTTTATATAGTTATTATTTAATGTGTATAAGGGTTTGCCTATGTGTGTGTCTGTATACCATGTACGCAGCTGGTACCTGTGGTCGGTCAGAAAGTTCATTGAATTTCCTGGAACTGTAGTCACAGATGGCTGAGTGCCATCATGTGGGTGCTGGGAATTGAACCTGGGGCCTTGGGAACAGCAGCCCGTGTTCTTAACCACTGAGCCATCTCTTCATCCCCGAGAAACAACTCTTTTTTTTAAAAAAAATATTTATTCATTTATTATGCATTCAATATCTGCCTACATGTGTGCCTGCAGGCCAGAGAGGGCACCAGACCTCATTACAGATGGTTGTGAGCCACCATATGGTTGCTGGGAATTGAACTTAAGACCTTTGGAAGAGCAGGCAATGCTCTTAACCACTGAGCCATCTCTCCAGCCCCCGAGAAACAACTCTTAAAGCAGTGAAATGACTCAGCGAGTAGAAGTGCTTACCCCACAAGCCTGGCAGCCTGAGTCCGACCCCCAAGCCCACATACCGGTAGAAGGACAGAACTGACACACACAGTTGTCCTCTGATCTCCTCATTACTTTATATACAGTTTAACTACTAATTTAGGCATGGTCTCCTTCTGTAGCCCAGGCTGGTATAGAACTTACTACATAGCCCAGGTTGGCCCGAGCTCCAAGCTCACGGCAGTTGTTTTACCTCCTGGGTCCTGGGGTTGTAGGCATGAGCCACCACACCTGGCTTATATGTTATGTTAATAAAGAGGTTAATTAACAGCGCCGAGGGGAATGTGCACTGTCAGTTTTACACTGTGTTAGCTCAGAAAGATGTGGCCATGTGTTGACCACCATAGTAATGGTGTGGGACAATCTGATTAGCTCAGAAGTCTCCTCACAAGGCTCGGTGTTCAGACAAGTTGTCTTCATTTGTTTGTTTCTATTCTGGGTTTTTTTTTTATATTTTTTTATTCAATTTAATTAATTAGTTTATTTATTTTTTGGTTTTTCAAGACAGGATTTCCCTGTGTTGATTTGAAGCCTGTCCTGGAACTAGCTCTTTTAGACCAGGCTGGCCTTGAACTCACAGAGATCCACCTGCCTCTGCCCCTGAGTGCTGGGATTAAAGGCGCCACCACCACCTGTCTATTCTGGGATTTTAACCTAAGGCTTCCGTGCATGAGACAGACAGGCACTCTCCCACTAAGCTGTGTCTGCAGCCTAGAGCTTTAAACTCTGCTTACAGGTTAAGGACTCGGTCTCTGAGAAAACAATCGGACGGATGCGGATGCAGTTCTGGAGAAAAGCTGTGGAGGACATATACTGCGACAACCCGCCACACCAGCCTGTGGCTGCGGAACTCTGGAAGGTAACATACGTATACACACATACATAATACATAATACATACATGCATATATATACTGCGACAACCCGCCACACCAGCCTGTGGCCGCTGAACTCTGGAAGGTAACATATGTATATATACACATACATAATACATATATATATACTGTGACAACCCACCATACCAACCTGTGACTGCTAAGCTCTGGAAGGTAAAATATGTACACACACGCACATATGTATTCACATGCACGTGTATGTACTACTTTTAATACATAAGAATTGTATTTGAGCCTACTTGTTGGTGGATGTAATTTCAGTGGTGGTGAGGGTGGTGGGATCCGTCCTGAACAGTTTTGGGCTCCTTTAGTGCTCTGAGCTGCTTGGCAGGTGTGCTAGTCACTTGCCTTGCTGCAGCAAAAGTCCTCTGAGGGAGGCGAGGTTTATCTGTCCTCCAGTTTCAGGGGTACAGTCCGTCGGGCTGGGTAAGTGTAGCTTCAGGATTGGGAGAGTTGGTCACGTTGCCTCCATAGTCAGGAAGTGGGGGCAGTAAGCACTGTGTTCAGCTTGCTCCCCATTTTAGGCATTAATTTATTATGAGAGAGAGGGCGAGTGAGCAAGCCCAAGAGTCATGAAGTACATGTGGGGGCGGGAGTCAGCGCTGTCCTACCAGGTGGGCTCTGGGATTGAACCTAGGTTGCCAGGCGTGGTGGCAAGTGCCTTCACCTGCTGAGTCTTCTCAGCGGCCCTCACTTCCTTTCCACGTCTGCCACCCTCGCCCACGGAATGGTACTGCTTACGTTTACTGGGAGGCTTTTCACTTCAGTTAACCTAATCTAGATAGCTGCTCACTTGTGTGTGTGTGAGCACACGTGGCGTGCCTATAGGGTGTGTGGAGACTAGAACTTGACTTTGGATACCTTCCTCTATTGCCCTCCATCTTATATTTTTTAGTTCAGGTGTCTCACCGAATCTAGAACTGACCGTTGAGCCAGACTGGCCGGCCAGTGAGTCCCCAGGATCTTCCTATATTTGCAGCTGCCATACACACACACAGCTACCCCAACTGGGGTTGTAGATGTGTGTCGCCAGGCCTGACTTGACATGGGTGCTGGGGATCCAAACTCAGGCCCCCGCATTATCATAGCAAGTACTTTCCCCATTAATCTACCTCCCGAGCTCCGTATTTCCCTTGGGGGTGTTTACGTGTGCATACGTGTGGGCAGAAGACAGTCTTGAGCATCGTTCTGCAGGCACCAGCCACTGTTGTCGTTGTTTTTTGAGACAGGATTTCTTCCTAAAGCTGGCGCTCACTGAGTAAGCTCGTCTGGCTGCTCAGGGGGCCGAGGGGATGGCAGCTGGGATTACAGCCTACACCACCAGTCCTAGCTTCTCCCACGGGTTCTGGGAGGGGACTCGGGTCCTTAGGTTTCCGTGTAAGGACTCTGCTGATTGAGCTGTCTCACCTGACCCTATGTTTTTAGTGGAATTAAATGTACCTTAATTACATTGAATTTTTTATTTTGTGTACTTGTGTTGGGCGGGGAGAGGCGTAGGGAGAGAGGGAATCCATGTATTGGAATGGCACAGCACACACATGGTGGTTTGAGGACAAATTAGTTCTCTTCCACAGGAGTGTTTACCTCCCATTTATGTTTACCTCCCGGGGCATCGTGCTGGCCCTGTGTATTTTTTTTAAAAGTAGAAAAAGGAATTTTACCTGTATATTATAAATTACTTCTGTATTTTCTACACATCTGGTTGCAGGATGGAAACTCCAAGTCTGATGCAATGGTAGGAATGTTTCTGTCCTGTCTGCCAGGCAGCTCTTTTTGCCAGTTCTGACTCAGGCTGAGCAAAGAAAAGTGTTAATCTTGTGCGCAAGGATACTCTCAGCATTGTTAGAGAGTGCTTTTAAAGAGCAGCAGGTAAAGCCAGGCGTTGGTAGCGCACGCCTTTAATCTTAGCACTCAGAGGCAGGCGAACCTCTGGGTTCAAGGCCAGCCTGGTCTACAGAGCGACCAGAACAGCCAGGACTACACAGAGAAACCCTGTCTTGAAAAACAAACAAACAAGCAGCAGGTAAAAGCTTCCCAACCAAGCCCTGTGACCTAAGTTCATCCTTGCAACCTCAACTGAAGCTCCCGCAGACCCAGCTGTGGGTATTTTGTCTCGACTGCTAATAGACTTAGGAGGGTCAGCTCACTGTGTTCAGTACCATTCCTAGGCAGCTGCTCCTGGATTACATAAGAAATCCATATGTAAACAGAAAACTCTCAACAGATGAATCGTAAACAACTGAAAAAGACACTTAAGGAGATGCTCAACATCTTTAACCATTAGAGAAATGTAAATCAAAACAACTTTGAGATTCTATCTTACACCTGTAAGAGTGGCCAAGATCAAAAACATTGATGACAGCTTATGCTGGAGAGGATGTGGGGTAAAGAGAACACTCCAGCATTGCTGGTGGGAGTGCAAGCTGGAACAGCCCCTTTGGATGTCAGTGTGGCGATTTCTCAGAAAATTAGGAAACAACCTTCCTCAAGACCCAGTAATACCACTTTTGGGTATATATCCAAAGGATGCTCAATCATACCACAAGAACATGTGCTCAACTATGTTCATAGCAGTATTGTTTGTCATAGTCAGAACCTGGAAACAACTTAAATACTCCTAGACTGAAGAATGGTAAGGAAAATATGGTACATTTACACAATGAACTACTACACAGCAGAAAAAAATAATGACATCTTGATATTTGCAGGCAAATTGATGGGTCTAGAAAACATCATATTGAGTGAGGTAACTCAGACCTAGAAAGACAAATATCACATGTACTCACTCATAAGTGGCTTTTAAACATAAAACAAAGAAAAACCAGCCTGCAATTCACAATCCCAGAGAACCTAGACAATAATGAGGACCCTAAGAGAGACATCCATGTATCTAAACTACATGGGAAGTAGAAAGAGACAAGATCTGAGTAAATTGGGAGCGTGGGGATCATGGGAGAGGAAGGGGGGAGGAAGAGGGGGGAACAAAGAAAAATATATAAAACAATTGAAAAAGAAATCCCAATGAGCAGAAGCCAGTGAGCAAGCCAACACGCATACACTTGTGCGGTTTCTGCTGGAAGTTCCTGCTTTGTAACTGCCTTGACTGCCTTAGCGATGCACTGAGATCTGGAAGTGTAAGCCAGCTCAGCCTTTCCTCCCTGCGTTTCTTCTGTCGTTACAGCAGCAGAAAGCAAACTGGAACAAGCCCTGAGCTGTGTCCCCAGCTCTGTTTAATCATTTACAGTGCGTGTTCTCTCTTCCTCGCTTGTCTTCCCCTTCATTCTTTGTCCCTCCTTTCTCCCCCCTCTTAACATGTACATACACACACGTGTGTATGTATATAGACTCACACAAATAATTCTTCCTACCTCATTCAAGTGTATTACATCATTTCCATATATAATATACTATGTATTTGGGGACTTGCTGATAATGGGGGTATTTTCCTACCAAGTGTAGTAGTAATAACTTTAATCCTAATTCCTAGGAGGCCAAGGCAGGAGGGCTGGAAGTCACAGCCTATGCTGTGTGACAAGACCCCATCTCAAAAGAAAACATGCAACTCCACCGCCACCCCCTGCAAAAAGGTTTAGAGACAAGTCTCTCATATAGCCGGGGCAGCTTGAGACTTCAGTCAATTTACTCCTCAACCCACCCCATGTCTCTCTGTAGCCAGGATGGCTTGGAACTCACCATGTATTCCCAGGCTGGCCTAGAACTTGTCGCAGTCCTCCTGCTTCAGCATCTTACGTGCTGAAGTTACAGGTGTGCTTCATCAACCCGTGTGACGTAGAAGCTAGGACTTTCCACACTAGGCACACACTCTCCCATGGAGTCACAGCCACCACCACCTCACACCCCGTCAACATTTCTTTTTCTTTGGTTTCTCTGTGTAGCCCTGGTTGTCTTGTAGACCTGGGTGCACTCTGTAGACCAGGCTGCCTGCAAACTCAAGAGATTTGCTTGCCTCTGCCTCCTGATTACTGGAATTAAAGGCGTGGACCACCACTGTTCATCTATTTTCTTTTTTTCCTTCCTTCTTTCTTTTTTAAAAAAGATTTATTTAGCCATATATGTGTATGAGTGCTCTATCTGCTTATATGACTATGTCAGAAAAGGATGTCGGATCCCACTGCAGATGATTATGAGCTACCGTGTGGGTGCTGGAAATTCAACTCAGGACCTCTGGAAGAGCAGCTGGTGCTCTTAACCCCTGAGCCATCTCTCCAGCCCTTCCAGCCATTTTCTGAAGAAGTATAATCAGTCTTACCTTGGTTTTTCCTTTCCGTACACTCATTTTGGGTTTGCTGTAATATTTTCTCATTAGACTTAGGTTATGGATTCTTAGTGGAGCACTTATAGGAAATGTCTTTCCCATGGTGTCCCTGCTGAAAGGACACATGTCCACCTGCCTTCCCTGGCACTGTTCTGTATTTGTTTAGGCCGTGCTCTATAGCTTAGACTCAAACTCACAATGATTCTCCTCCTGGGACTCCCAAGTAGTGGGATCACAAACGCGTGGCACCGTGCCCCATTGTTCTCAGGGTTTAAGGTGCTCTGCATTTTGGGGGACGTGGTTATTTTTGCTAATGAGACTGTGTGCTGTAAGAGAAAGACTGAATGTAGTATGTAAGAATTGAAGTCAGGTGGACAAGCAGTTCTCTACTGAGTTCTTGGTTTTATTTGAAAGTGTAATTAGGCATCTGGGAGGGCTTAAATGGAGGTTAAGGGAAGAGAGAAATGTTGTCACTATATATATATGTGTGTGTGTGTGTGTATGTATACATATATATATTTGTCACTATATATGCATATATATATATACATACAAACAAATATGTATATATTTGTTGTTTGTTTGGTTTAGCTTGTTTTTTTGCGACAAGGTTTCTCTGAAACAGTCCTGGCTGTCCTGGAACTCACAGGGATCCACCTGCCTCTTCCTCTCAATTGCAGGGATTAAAGGTGTGTGCTACCACCACCCACCCAGTATCATAATTTAATATCAAAAATAAAACAAAAAATGAAGGCATCTAACATCCAAAAATAAGAAGAGAGAAAGAAAGTTGAATCACTAGATGTGTACCGGTACAGCAGGATCCCGAGCCCCTGCACTTGGGAACGGCCTGATGAGCTTCTCCTGATCACGGCTTTTCTCCTGAGGTCTTTTCAGCGTGACTGCCCACTGGATGAGCTGTACCAAGTGTCCTCTTACTTACCTTTGCATTGCTTGGTGTATTTTGTTCATATCTAGAGAAGTTACTTCTAGTACCTTCTAAACATTTACAACACTCTTGTTTTTTAGGCCGTCAAGAGACATAATCTAACTAAAAGATGGCTTATGAGAATCATTGATGAAAGAGTAAGTTGAAATTGTTTAAGTCTTAAATATTTTTTCCATTTTGATTCTTAGGTTAATTATTCATGGAGGAAAGTTTTTTGTACAACTTTGTACAAATGTACAATGCACATTCCTGGCCCTTAAGTTATTGTTACTATTTTTTAAGATGGTTAAATTTATATGTATATGTGTTTTGTCTGCAAGTATACCTGAGCACCAGGCGTATGCATTGCCCAAGGAATCCAGAAAAGGGTTGAATCTTCTGGAACTGGAGCTGATGGTTGTTAGTCATTAGACATAGACATTAAGCTGAGAATTGACCCTGGGTCACCTGAAAGGGCAGCAAATGCTCGCAACCACCAGGTCATCTCTCTGGCCCTAAAATATTTCAAGACAGGCTCTCACCGTATATCCCTGACTGCCTGGAGCTCACTAGTGGCCCACCTAGCCCTGAACTCACAGCAGTGTCCTGAGTGCTGGGCACAGCCTGATGCCCATCCCCAACATTTAGTGTCTGAAGGGAGACGAGTTAAAACTAAAGCCCAGGTCTCATATGGGCACCTTGTTCTGGAACTCGCGATTGATGCTCCCACTGCACATCTGGCTGCAGGTGTGCTCCCGCTGCACATCTGGCTGCAGGGGTCACAGGTGTGCTCCATCGTGTCCACCGTTGACACAGCGCTGTTGACGTGACGCCGTCCTCACCTAAGCCTCACCTCCTCGTCGCTGTCTCCTCCTCCTCCAGGTAGTAAGCTGTTACCATGGAGACGTCAAACTGTGGTACTGACAGAGAATGGACACACAGAGGAGTGGTATAGAAGGAGAGTTCAGGGGCAGGCGAACGGCTCAGCAAGTAAAAGTGCTTGCTGCAGTGGGTCCCACAAGGTGACAAGGGAGAACTGACCTCCCAAAATTGTCCTCTGACCTCTGCATGTTAACGAGCCACTGCACCTGCTGTCATATATGCAGACACAAAATTATATAAATCGATTATTATAAAGAATTAAAAGAGTATACAAGCCATATATTTATAGTCCGTTGAATGACAGGAGTATCTGGACAATTCATGGGGAAGGTATTGTTTATAACAGGGTGTGTGCACCTGCAGAGATGGGCTCTAGGGGTGGTGGTGCAGGTCTGTGCCCCAGCACTGGGCATGTGGGGCTCAGGGTTCAAGGCCATCTTAGGCACAGTCACAGTTATAGGGCAGCTTGGGTTACATGAGACTCTGTCTCAAAAGTATTAGAGCTAAATAAAAAGACTGAATCAGGACTATTGCCTCACAATGTATATAAAAGTCAGCAATATAGTTTGATGGCCCATTGGGAACCTAAAAAAAGCAAAACAAACTTTGTTGAAAACAGTGATGTGAGCTGTAAATCTTTGTGATTTGAAATTAGTTGATGGTTTCTTAAATATATCAAAAGTATAGATAAGAAAAAAGAGATAAATTAAAATTCATTAAAATTAAAGGCTTCAAAAAGTTGAAAACCCAGAGAGAATGGGAAAAACATTGGTAGTTACTTATCTGATAAGTGTTCAATTGATACATGAGTAATAAAAACTGAGAGAGAGAATTTGGGGTTCAACCTGAAGATCTATCTGAAGAGCAAAACAGCCAGCCACTGGTTCTTACCTCAACCTCAGTCTGAAAATGGCGGTTCTGCCTCCAGGAATCTCAGGATGAGAGTGAGAGCTATCTCCTCCCATTTTATAATCCTCTCTAGGGCTGGGATTAAAGGCGTGCACCACTAGGGTTAAGGGCATACACTGCCCGGTTTCTATGACAACTAGTGTGGCTATTGGGATTAAAGGTGTGTGTCACCACTGCCTGGTCTGTAAGACTGAACAGTGGGGCTCTTTTACTCTCTGATCTTCAGGCAAGCTTTATTAAAATACAATTGAAATGCACTGCACTTACTGTCTAGCATGCGTCAGGACCTTTTCAACTCAGCGATAAAACATGCAGAGAAGACATGAATGAACAATAAGACCTGAAGAAGCGAGGCCCCCATGCCTGCGGGGTTGTGCATTCATGCTGTTCTTGAGCCTTATTTGGGAGGTGATTTGTAAACTCTAATCTATAAGGCTTTGATGAGGGTGGGAATTATTTTTGTTTTTTGAGACAGGGTCTCATGAAGCCCTGACTGGCTTGGCATTTATATAGAATTTTTAAAAGATGATATAGATAATCTTTTAAATATTTAAATAGAGATAATATTATAAATATTTTGTTTTATATGTATGAGTATTTTGCCTGCATGAATGTTTCATACAGCATGTTCAGGTATACCTGAGGAGGTCGGAGGCATTGGATCCCCTACATGCTACAAACAGAAACTGGGGTCTCTGCAAGAGCAGCCAGCATTCGCAGTCCCATGCCTAGCTATGCTTTGATCTCTATTGTGCACTATACAAATCTGTTAAGTGATGTTCTTATTTATTTCAGGCAACAATAGATTAGCACTTTATTATTACTATAAAATAATAATTCAGTGGGCTTCATTTGCTTGTCTGATTTAGGAGAAAAATCTGGATGACAAAGCTTATCGCAGTATCCAGGAGCTTGAGAATTATGCCGAGAACACGCAGAGCTCTCTTCTCTACCTGACACTGGAGGTGCTGGGTAAGTTGCTTTTAAGAAGTTTTAATAACCTAGGTTCTTTTTTATGACAGTGAGACATGTCTGCTCCTGGTAGCAACAATGTACTTCAGAGAAGATAGTGAGCATTGAAGAAACTCCACATGGAGTTTACTTTCTTTGTGGAAAAAGTAATTCACTGGTCAAAAAAATATCCTTGCCTCAACTGCTTCTGGTATGCTGTCCTAATTGGACAAGCAGGACATAAAAGAGACTCCCCAACATTGTCAAGATAAGGAGGGACAGCCCTTCAGAATATCCTGCTTCATAGAAAGGTATGTCAGATATGCTAGGTCTGTAAATCAAAGATGGAGATGCCCCAATGTTGCAGAGGAACCTTGGGTGACTGCCCAGGCAGCCAGATGTTTCTGTCACTACTCACAGTTTTTGGAAGTCACTTGCTTGCACTTTCCTGCTTACTCAGTTCATACTGCTTCCTTCTTCGGTCTCTGAGGGAGTTGAAGACTAGATAGTTACAGTTTTCCTTGCTTACCTGATGCAGAAAACAAGATAGAAAGTAAAGCTGTGTGGTGATGGCGCACACATTTAATCAAGGCCAACCTGGTCTACAGAGCTAGTTCCAGGACAGGCTCCAAAGGTACAGAGAAACCCTGTCTCTAAAAAAGCAAAAACAAAGTAAATTAGGTATTAGACTCACTGAGATAGGATATATATGGAGTATTTTCTCTGAATTTGTCAAATGCTAGTGGACTAGACATGATTGATGTATTTATTGCCTGTATATATTGTATATAGTTATTGTACTTACTGTATATAGTTTTTCTTATATTAGTTATAGCCTTCTTTTTCATTCTTGACAAAAAGGGGAAATGTAGTGGCTTTTCATTTGTATTTTAATAAATAAAACTTTGTACCAAGAACCCTTGTATTATCTGTACATTATAGTCCTCTCAGAGTGCAGACTTGTCCAAGTGCTTACTCATGAGAATACTCTATGTTACACATCAAGTAGTGCCGGTGGCCTCACCTTTCCCTGCAGCACCTCCTGTGACCTGGAGGCTGTACTTCTGTTCCTCCCTGTCAAGAATTCTTCCCCGTGGTGGGGGGAGAGAACAAAATTACTCACAAAATTTTACGAGATTTTCTTTTCCTCTCCTTTAAGAATATTTGAAATGACACTTTTCCTTTGACCTTGCTCCAACTTGGTGGCATCTTATTCTTAGATTACTGGGGCCAAGGACAATAGTAATATCTCATTTGAAGAGAGTGATCTATCTTTATGTCAGACCCCAGAATACAGTCCCTCTTGACTGTCCAAGGCCTATCCTGCTGCACCCTAAAAGTAAAGTTATGACATTGTTTTGAGGGGAAAAAATGAAACACTTAAGTTTCCCAGGAAGTCTGATGAAATTCTCAGTGTATTCTTGGTGTGCTGGAGTTGGAGAGTTAACAAGTAAAGATTTGGATGCCTGCTAGCAGGAAGATGGTTGGCTCATCCCTGGCACCCACCTTCCTTCATAAATCCTATTTTTCAGATGTCAGACAGGATAAGTACTTTTCCTGGGTTCAGATGACGTCTCGTGCTATTTCTGTTGACTTGCTATGCTTCAGGGACAGTAGAGCAACCCCGTCTGGTGTCTGTAATTCTAGGCGTGAAGGATCTTCATGCAGACCATGCTGCAAGCCATATTGGAAAGGCACAAGGCATTGTCACGTGCTTGAGAGCAACGCCCTATCATGGTAGCAGGAGAAAAGTGTTCCTGCCCATGGATGTCTGTGTGCAGGTGAGGCTGTGACCTGCTAATGATCCTCCGGGGACGCCAGGAGGGGGTTGCTCTTTGTTTTGTTTAGTTTATTCCATTGCTGTTTGAAAGGGGGCACAGCACTTCCTGCTTTTGCCCTGCGTACTGAGATAGGCAAGCATGAGGCACTACAAGGAGGAGGCTTGAATAACCTGCACCTCCTTGCCAGTGACTAACTCCCTTAAGTAGCTGTAGTACCCTCACCTGGGCCTGTGTGTCACTCTATGTTATTGGTGGGAAGCTCAGGGTGAACTTGAACTCGTGAATCTTCATGTAGCTGAGGATGATGCTGAATTTCCAATTCTTCTTCTCCAGGTCTCCAGTGCTGGGATTGTAGGTGTTGGGCCACCTCACCCAGCTGGAATACGTCTACTAAAAATGTTTATCAGAGATCCAGGTGGTGGTGCACACCTTTAGTCCCAGCACTCGGGAGGCAGAGGCAGGTGGATCTCTGTGAATTTGAGGCCAGTCTGGTCTACAGAGTGAGTTCCTGGACAGCCAAAGCTACACACAGAGAAACCCGGTCTTTAAAAACAAAAACAAAAAAAAGAAAAGAAAAGAAAAAAAAAACGTTTATCAGGCTGAAGAGATGGCTCAGCAGTTACAAATGTTTACCAGAACTTTGCGGTTTTTAATGAGGTTCTTTACTGTCTGCCCTTTTGAACTTTTAAAAAAGATTTGTGTGTGTGTGTACATGGATGCCTGTGAAGGCCAGAGAAAGTCTCAGATGCTATGGAGCAGGAAGTTCTGAGCAGCAGTGAGACTATAACCTGGGTTCCTCTTTACTGAGCCGTCTCTCCAGCCTCCTTTTAACCCTTTTTGTATTTTGTTAGGCTTCTCCCTCCACACACCATGCACACTCTATTAGTTGGGGTTCGCCACAGAAACAGAACTAGTAAAGTGAGTATATATCCTAGTGGGGATTTGTGACATTGGCTTGCATCATGGGCACTGAGTACTTCAGCAGTGACTGCCTGCACCCTGGAAAAGCTGAGACCTTGACCAGTCCTCATGGCTGGACGCTTCAGCAATCCCAGCTTGGCACTGAAGGTCTGGGGGGTTCCTGGAGAGCTGCAGGCCTTTAGAGAAGCTGACTCCACTGTCCGTGAAGGATGGCGGCAGTGACAGCAGCATGGCAGATGCACTCACCAGCAAGGAGCAAAGGTGGTAGGCAAAAGCAGTACTGCTTTTCAGTCAGACATCTTTATGTCTGCCCACCTGGGAGGGCTCCCCCTTCATCCTTCCAGAGACTCCTGTCACAGACCCACCTACATGCATGTCTTAGCTGATTCTATAGCCAATCAAGTGGATCAGGAAGACCAGCCATTGCACACTTATACACAGTTTAAAAATTAGCCATTATTCTATATATGCTGCCTATCTCTGCCTGTTTTCTTAAGCATTATTGATTTTAAGTGTGCTTATAGATTCCTAAAATTATATTTTCCTCACAGCATGGTGTTTCACAAGAAGACTTTCTACGGAGGAACCATGATAAAAATGTGAGAGATGTCATATATGACATTGCCAGCCAGGCACACTTGCACCTAAAGCATGTAAGTAGCTCCTGTGCCCGGTTGTTTAGGAAGTTATCACTACTAGACAGGGCTGTTCTATGGCATGTTATGTGTGGTGGTTAGAATAGGCTTGTACCAGGCTTTCTTTTGGGCACCAACTAGCTCCAAAATCGCGACATGGAGACTTCTTATTAGTTATGAACGCTCGGCCTGGCTTAGGCTCGTTTCTTGCTAGTTCATATAACTTAACACATTTTTCTTCATCTACATTTTGTCTCTGGGCTGTTTACCTTTCTTTCTTTCTGTATGTCCTTTTCCTGCTTCTCTAGTCTGGCTGGTTGGCAGCTGCCTGACTTCTGGCCCCAGTTGTGTCTCTCTCTTTATTCCTCATTTTCTTCTCTATTGAGCCTGGATTTCTTCTCCTACTTGTCCCTGTCAGCCCCACCTATCCCTCCCCTGCCTAGCTCTTTATTAGATCAACCAGGTGCCTTCCGCTGGCAAGGTGAAACAAATACAGCAAATCTTTACATCATTAGCAAAGGCAGCAGAAACAATTGTAACACATCTTAACAGTTAAATATTTTGTAGTATAAACAAATGTAACACACCTTCACAGTTAAAGTAATATTCTATAGTATAACAAATGTCACACACCTTCAAACAGTTAAATATTCTGCATTATAAACAAATAAAACACCTTAACAAAGTTAGAGTAATATTCTGTCATATAAACAAATGAAACACACCTTCACAGCAAAATAATATTATGCAGTATAAACAAGAGCAACACACCTTCACACAGTTAAAGTAATATTCTGCAGTATAAACAACTGTAACACACCTTCACATAGTTAAATATTCTGTAGAATAAACAAATATAACACACCTTCACACTTATTCTGTAGTAAAAACAAAAGCAACACTCCATCAAGCAGAGTAATATTCTACAGTATAAACAACTGTAACACACCTTCACACAGTTAAATATTCTGTAGTATAAACAAATGTAACACTTTTACACAGAGTAATAATCTTCAGTATAAATAAATATAACACCTACACAGTAAAATAATATGCAGTATAAACAAAAGTAACAACCTAAACAATTAGAATATTCTGCAAAAAAAACAAATGTACCACACCTTCACCATGTTAGAGTAATATTCGGCAGTATAAACAAATATAACACTCCTTCACAGTTAAATATTTTGTAGTATAAACAAAAGCAACACACCCTCACAGATTCTGCTGTATAAACAAATAGAACACACTTCACAGTTAATATAATATTTTACAGTATAAACATATATAACACACCTTCAGACAGTAATATTCTGCAGTATAAACAAATATAATACAACTTTACAGTTAAAGTAATATCCTGCAGTATAAACAAAGGTAATACTTGTTCACCTTTAAAGTAATATTCTACAGTATAATCAAATATAACACGTCTTCACACAGTTAAAGCAATATTTTGTCATATAAACAATTATAACACGTCTTCACAGGTTAAATATTTTGCAGTAAAATGAAAAGCAACACACCTTCACATTTAAAGTAAATTCTGTACTATAAACAAATATAACTCACCTTCTCAGTTAAAGTAATATTCTGCAATATAAACAAATGTAACACACCTTCAATCAGTTATATATTCCGCAGTATGAACAAATATACCACACCTTCACACAGTTATATTCTACAGTACAAACAAGTGTATCACACCTTTACACAGTTAAATATTCTGCAGTATAAACAAATATAACACACCTTCACACAGAGTAATATTCTGCAGTATAAACAAATGTATCCCACCTTCACACAGTTAAAGCAATATTCTCTCGTATAAACAAAATTAGCACACCTTCACAATTAAAGTAATATTCTTCAGTAAAAACAAAAGCAACACACCTTCACAGTTAAAATAATATTCTGCAGTATAAGCAAATGTAACATACCTTCTGACAGTTAAAGTAATATTCTGTAGAATAAACAAACATAACACACCTTCCCAGTTAAATAATATTCTGTAGTAAAAACAAAAGCAACACACCTTTACAGTTAAATATTCTGCGGTATAAAGAAATGTAACACACCTTCAAACAGTTAAAGTAATATTCTGCATTATAAACAAATAAAACACACCTTAACAAAGTTAGAGTAATAGTCTGTCATATAAACAAATGTAACACACCTTCACACAGGTAAAGTAATATTCTGTAGTATAAACAAATATAACACACCTTCACAGTTAAATATTCTGCAATAAAAACAAAAGCAACACACCTTCACATAGTTAAAGTAATATTCTGCAATAAACAAATGTAACACACCTTCTCACAGTTAAATATTCTGTAGAATAAACAAATATAACACAACTTCACAGTTAAATATTCTGCAATAAAAACAAAAGCATCACACCTTCACAGTTAAAGTAATATTCTGTAGTATAAATATAACAATCTTCACACAGTTAAAGTCATATTCTGCAGTATAAACAAATGTAACACACCTTCACACAGTTAAATCTTCCGCACTATGAACAAGTATATCACACCTTCACAGTTAAAGCAATATTCTGTTGTATAAACAAAGATAACACACCTTCACAGTTAAAATAATATTCTACAGTAAAAACAAAAGCAACATCCTTCACAGTTAAAGTAATATTCTGTAGTAAAAAAAAAAGCAGCACACCTTCACACAGAGTAATATTCTGCAGTATAATCAAAAGCAATACGCATTCATAGTTAATATTCTGCAGTAAAAACAAAAGATACACAGCTTCACAGTTAAAGTAATATTCTGCAGTATAAACAAATGTAACACACCTTCACACAGTTATAGTTATGTTCTGTAGAATAAACGAATATAATACACCTTCACAGTTAAATATTGTGCAATAAAAAGAAAAGCAACATACCTTCACTATTTAAGTATTATCCTGCAGTATAAACAAATGAAACACACCTTCACACAGTTGAAGTAATATTCTGTAGAATAAACAAATATAACACACCTTCACACAGTTGAAGTAATATTCTGTAGAATAAACAAATATAACACACCTTCCCACAGTTAAATAATAGTCTGCAGTATAAACAAATGTAATACACCTTCTGTAGTATAAACAAAATGTAACACAGCTTCACACAGTTAAAGTAATATTCTGCAATATAAACAAATATAACACACCTTTACATCTTTAAATGTTCCACAACAAGGCATGGCCCCTATGGACTATGTATTTGAAGGCTTCACACATAGCCGATGGCTTGTTAGGAGGTGTGAGCTCGTTGGCGTGGGTGTGGCTTTGTTGGAGGAAGTGTGTCACTGTGGAGACAGACATGGAGGTCTGGCCAGTGGGACACAGACCCCTGCTGCTGCTGCCTGCGGATCCAGATGGAGAACTCTCAGTTCCTTCTCCAGCACCATGTCCCGCTGTGACAGTAATGGACTAGACCTCTGAACTGTAAGCTAGCCCTAATTAAATGGTTTCCTTTGTAAGTGTTTCCGCGATCCTGGTGTCTCTTCACAGCAATAGAATCCCTAACTAAGACACTATGAGTTTTTATATGTGGTAGCCTTTCTTCAACACACTGTGGATTCTGACCTTGGCAGTCTTTGTTCCAGTGTTCGTTTGATTCCCAGGGTTTATCTCAGGGACTGTTGGAAACTTTTCCTGCTCCGGAAACCCCCTCCCTGCCCTCAGCTGGTGGATGCACCCTTTTTGAGTGGGAAGCCTAAGCTTTCTCACTTGGGCCCTGGTCCACAGAGTGTGTCTGCCGTCCATGCCTGCTCCTGTCTCCTTCCTCCTGGGACCTCAGCCCCAGCCAGCCTTCAGTTGCTCCTTTTGTGTGCTGGCTGTTGCTGCTGCTGGCTGGGTTTACAGCTGGCCCAGGCTTCCTGGTTCTTACCCGTTGGGTGCTCTGCTCTCACCTAGCCTGGGGGAGAGCTCATCACCTGGCCGGCTCTCCTGTTCTGATGTCTTCCAGCCACAGCAGTGAGAGGCCACGGGAGGAATTTTCATGTTTCCCAACTGAGCAGTTGCTCACTCTGGTCTTCATTCCTTTTTGACACTTTTTTCACCTCGGAATTTACTTCAGTTCCGCTTGGCTCTGATGGCTCCTAACTGGTTCCTGAGTTCACCAGAGTCCACTTTAGTTCATTAAGAGTTTGCTCTTGGGGAAGGGTTTGGTGGAAGAGGAGGGGATAAGAGAAAATAGTAGGGGAGGAAGAATATGAAGTGTGTGTGTGTGTGTGTGTGTGTGTGTGTGTGTGTGTGTGTGTGTGAAATTGTGAAAGAATCTTTTGAAACAGTTTCATTAGATAGCCCTGGATAGTCTAGAACTCATTGTGTAGATCAGGCTAGCCTCAAACTCATAGATCTGTCTCTTCCAAGTTCTAGGCCTTTCTCCCTGGAGATTGGTAGAGTAACCCACACTGAGAATTGCATTTTTCCAAAGTATTTTATTAATTTGTTGTGGCTTGTCATAGTGGCACATGCCTTTAATCTCAGAGGCAGGCAGATCTTTGAGTTTAAGACCACCCTGGTCTACAGAGGGAGTTCTAGGATAGCCAGGGCTACACAGAGACCCTGTCCTCAAACAAATAACAACAACAAAATTATTAATTTAAAAGATTGAACAAAGCTTATTTGTTGTGTTGTGCTGGAGACTGACGCCGGGGTCTTCCCATGCTAGCGAAGCTCCCGCGAGCCAGCGTCCTTGTTCTGCGGGATTTCATAGCTGGAACTAAAGCTGCCGGCTCACTGGCTGCACGCGATCCACTCCCAGAAACTGGTTTAGAGCGGTGGGTTGAAGAACCATCGCAGGCTTTGGAGGCCCTTGAGAAGTGCAAGAAGATGGAGGATGCTGGTACACGCTCAGAAGCAGAGGCCTGACCGTAATCTAATTCTGCATTCATTAATTGTATTATAGCTTCACTATGCCCCAGCTTCCATACAGACAAGAGGATCGTATTACTTTCTACCCAAAGTGTTGCTTAGATAAATGAGCTAACATAGTTACAAGTAGCACCTGCCATGTAGCAAGTGCAATATAAGTTACTTTGTATCCCCGTCAAGTAGAGCTGTGACTTTATCACTGCAGTAGAAAACCTGCAGAGGTTTTGTGTATTTGTTTCTGTCACCTTTGGGTTTTTGAGACAGGGTTTTGCTGATGAGCCTGGGTAGGAGTTCCACTGTGTTCTACACTGGCCGTGCATTTGTGATCCTTTCTTTGGCCTCCCGCGTGTTGAGATGATAGGTGTGTGCTACCGTGGCTGGATCTGGCAGTGCTTGAGACAAGAAAGACCGGGGGGCTGGTTAAGAGAGCAGATTGCGCTCACTAAAGGACCTGAGTTCAATTCCCAGCACCCGTATCACAGGAGGCTTCCAGCCACCTATAACTCCAGCTCGGGGCCGGGGAGATCCAATACCTCTGCCAGCCATGGGCACCTGCACTCACAAGCACACAGACACTCAAATGTATGCATAGTTTTTAAGGAAAGAGAAAAGATTGGGAGCTGGGAGATGAGTTGGTGCCTCTTCGCATCTCGCCCCACACAGCTTGGTCCTTGTCCTGACTGGAGCGTCTCAGGAATGAAGAAATGACAGAGTCTGAAGGCACAGCGGAGACACTAGGCCAGCTGGTCTGTGCTCACTCTGAGGGCAATTCCTAGTCACCTGGACACTTAGTAAACCGGACCAGGAAGAAGGCTTAGCTAGTGTCAGTGGGAGGTTCTCCAGGAGAGCGGTCCCAGGCTGTAAACGTCTGTACCTCTTGTCAGCATTCACAGACCAGGGCAAGGTTTTGCTGTTTCTCTGAGCCTGACTCGGGAGGATTTGCCATTACCGTGGGTCTGAGGTGGTTGTGGTAGTGATGGTGGGACTGGACATGGCTGTGCTTCCCACAGTTCCCCTTACTTAGGAGAAGGACAAAGTTCTTTAGAGAGATGTGCGTGTATGTATGTGTATGTATATATAGCCACACCCACAATGACACCAGATAACTGACTATGGCAAGATGGGGGAGAGCAAGTCACAGGCTGCATGGTGAGTTCACACAGACCACAGCAGTGCCAGTCAGAGATGCGAGACAGCGTGTGCTTGGTGCTGGTCTTCGTTCTGTTATAGTCGCTTAGAGGGAGTGACATCAGAGCCATGGGCTGCTGGAGAGTGCAAGGTGTGACTTGGGAAGGCCAGAATTGCAGTCACCATGTAAGAGGTTACTGTCAAAGCTTTTGTCTAGATGCTGTTGCTCATGGAGCGTGCCCGCTAGATGAGGTGCAGACAGAGCCTGGGACCACATCCATTCATCGGGTAGAAGGAAGCAGGGCAAAGGGCAGAGCAGGAGAACTGGGGTCTGCGTCCCAGCAGAGAAGAAAGGAAGAGCACATGTCCGTGCTGCAGAAGGGTAGAGAAAGGTGACCTCGGAGCAGAGACCACCGTGCGCAGTGCGGAAGTACAGGGTGTAAGAGACAATGCTGACAAAGACTTGGACACCGGGTTGGTCTGGCCAGTGCAGGCATCGGCCTGAGTGACCGGGTGTTCTTAGCCTAGAAGAGTCAGGCTGAGTTGAGACTAGGGGTTAGATGCAGACGTTCGAATTCCAAGAAGAGTAGCTGATACTTGATCGAGATGAAGTAATTGATGAAAAGACATGAACTCATCAGACACTGGGCAGGAACACCACTTGGGAGGGCCCTCTGTGCTCGAGCTAACCAGGAGGCCAGGCCAGGAAGTGTTACTGCGGAGCTAGGGTGGAGTCAGTGTGAGATGTAGGCGCTGGAATCCCCAGCCCAGCCCTGGAAGAAGAGGCTTTTATACAACCGAAGGAGATGAGCTGTTTCCTTGCTTTCGTGAGAGGCCCTGATCATGTCTTTAAACCGCTGCCATTGCTTTGTGCTCACTCTCAGAGGAGACCATTTCAGAAGCTTTCCATCTAACCTCTGTTTTCCTCTTCCTCCAAGGCAAGGTCCTTCCACAGAAGCGTTCCTGCAGAGGCATTTCCCGCCTTTCTTCAGACAGTGAGTGCTTGGGGGGGGGGGGGGGGTGTCGAACTGGGACTGGTTCTCAGTTTGCTTCAGTCCCCAGGGAACTCCTTTTGCTTGTTTTCCTGCCTCCTGGTGGCTTGATTAGTCTGTGACGGTCACACCTGAGCTCTGAGCTCTCATTAGACACAGGCCCTGCACCCAGGTCACACCCTGCTTCTTTGGTGTCTGGACAGGACTGCCGAAAGAGCTTCCTTCTTCCCAGAATACTCCTGTTCTCATTGCTCCACCTCTACTTCCTGTCTGGTTTTCCCCACCTATACGTCCTGCCTGGGTACAGGCCAATCAGCGTTTATTTAAAATGCAATTGACAGAATATAGAATTGTCCCACACCACAGGCCAGTGTGTCAGGTCTTCGCTGCCTGAGGACCCAGAAGTAGAACTAACTCCGCAGCACCCTGTCTGCCGCCACTGTGTCCCACCTGATGAGAACGGACCAAACCTCTGAACTACGATTACCCAGTCTCAAATGTTTTCCTTTCTAGGACTTGCTGTGGTCACTGTGTGTCTTCACAGCACAAAAACCCTAACTAAGACAACAGCTTTAATCCCAGCACTCACAGGGCAGAGGCAGGAGGATCTCTGTGAGCTTATGGCCAGCCTGGTCTGTATACTGAGTTCTCAGCTGGCTGGGGCTCCATACAGAGACCCTGTCTTGGGGGAAAAGAAATGTTTTTCTCATGTGATTATCACCTCAGGAAACTAAAGGCTTGTACTCCCCTTTTCTTTGAAACACGGTCTTACTATGTGGCCCAGAGTGGTGTGGTTTTCACCCTCCTGTCCCAGTTTCCTCAGTACTCTCTTTAGCCCAGGTTGGTCTTGATTTCACCATTAGCACAGGCTGATACCACACTCGGGGTGGTCCACCTCTCTAGCGCTAGGATTGCGGGTGTGGCCACCATGCTAGCTGTACTTTTTCTCTCGTTTGTGTGGGAAACTTGATCATTTTATCTAGCAACCACTGTTCTCTTTCCAGGTTACTCTAGAGGACTATTTAAAGAAAATCCAGCGAGTGGATTTTGATATATTCCACCCATCTTTACAACAGAAGAATACATTACTTCCGTTATCTTTGTATATTCAATCATGGAGAAAAAGATATTAAAATAATTTCATGTTACTGATACTGGTTTACTTTTAGTTTATTGGTTTAAAAATGTGTGTTTTGGGTTTTTGTTTTGAAAGGACGAGCGCTAACGTATGTACACATGTACATTTTGTGTGTGTATGAGAGAGAGAGAGAGAGAGAGAGAGAGAGAGAGAACGAGAACCTTGAGCCAACTGATTCTGCTAGAATGGCTGGCCAGACAATTTAAGATCCTCCAGTCTCTGTCTCCAAACTCTGGGGTTGCAGGGGTATAAACAGAGTTTCTGTCCCACCCGGTCCTGCAGCCCCAAACACACAGGGGCTTATAACAGTTATAAACTGTTTGGCCCTATTAGATCAGGCTTATTAACTAACTCTTACAACTTAAATTAACCCATAATTCTTGTCTGTGTGTATCCACGTGGCTTGGTACCTTTCCTTGGGCATTCTCATCTTGTTTCCTCTGTCTGGTGACTGACCTTGCCTTTCCTCTTCCCAGAATTCTCCTAGTCTTTTCACCCTGCCTATACTTCCTGCCTGGCTATTAGCCAATCAGCATTTTATTAAGCCAATATGAGTGACAAATCTTTACCGTGTACAAGAGCATCTCCCACAGAAGAGGGGCACTTAGCTGCCCCAGCTGCCTGTGTGGTGCTGGGATCTGAGGTCGGCCCTCATGCTTTTTCCGTTGTGCTGTTTTCCAAGCACCAGAGCTGGGGGAGGGCATGTAGTATTTTTCTGAGTGTGTGTGTGTCTGCCGTTGTCAGTTTATGTGCACCCACAGGCCAGAGGGTGTTAGATCCCCGGGAACTTAAGTTCCACTTGGCTGTAAGGCACCTGATATGGATAAGGGAACCTCTGTAAGAGCTCTTAACATCTGAGCCAGCGTCCCAGCCTCCAGAGCTAACTTTTTACTTAAGGAGAAAGGGTTATTGCACGGATTAAATAGCTCACAGAACATCTGTAGAGCTTCTGGGGGCTGCAGGCTGGGACCCTGCTGAGATCCTACCATCCTGCCCTCCCCATACAGGGCTGCTGTGCCATCACTGGGAAGCTGGGGTCCCAGGACAAGCCTGGTGAGAGGGAAAGTCAGTCACCCTTCTCTGCCTCACCCCTCGGTTCCAAAGGGGAAAGGACTTGGGTTCACACTGTAACAGCTGCTAGCCAAGGGTCACATGCTCCCTGTAGCTGCAAAATGCGTTCATTTTGGACAGTGATTCTGTGGGTCATGACCCCGTAAATATTTACGTAACAATTCATAACAGTAGCAAAATTACAGTTGTGAAGTAGCAATAAAAATAATTTTATAGCTGGGGTCAGCACAACTTGAACTGTGTTAAAAGGGTCGCAGCATTAGGGAGGCTGAGGACCACTGAGTTAGGGCATGAAAATGAATGTAAAGTCTGAGTCTTGTGTTGAGGGCTGTGTAGCCCTAATGCTCGTCTTTCTAACTCAATTTATCCATAGTGATGAAAAAACCTGAGTTAAGATTAAGCAGCGATCCACCGCCTGCAGCTCAGGTGGGTGCTAGCCACCCACAGACCACCCTTGAAGGTCCACGTTGGTGGGAAGACATCCATGTGGCACTGGGCAGGTGGATCCCATTCTGATGAACAAATACATGGGGGAGAAATGGGGGAGAAAGAAAGGGGGGGGTCATGCACTGTGGAAAGAGGCCAAAAGGAAGAAATGAAGACAGGAGTGGGCTGATGGCTTGCCATCAGTGGCTTGCCACCTGGGGCCATCGGGATGTCCAGGCCCAAGCTGCCAAGGGCCATGACTAGGTCTGTGGTATGGTTGCAGCTGGGGTCTGTGTTGATGTCTGTGGCCTCTGTCACCTCAGCGGCCATAGGAACCGTGTGAGATGAAATCAAAGCACCATGTTGAGTTGGCCCTGCCTTTTGCTGGCCCTGGGAAAACTGGCCTTGCTTCTTGCTAGACACTGTAGCAGGCAAGGGAGAACTGACCCTGATGGCTTGGGAGTAGGGGAGCTGGCTCTGCCCCGCCACCTGAGGCAGGTGGCCCCAGTGGCCAGGACTGACCAGCTCAGCTACCACCCAGGCCACAGTAGGGCCTTGTGTTGGCTCACCCTGATATCTGCCCATCTAGACCCGCTGGAGCTTGTGGGTGAATAGTCTCTGTGACTTGCAGCAGTCGCAGGACATCAGTGAGAATCCAGTGACGGTGTGCCAGAAACCGGAGGCCCTGAACCAGGCCAATGACTCATTGCCATCAACATTTGCTAGTAAAACTGATTGGATAAGACATACACCTCCCAATGCCACCAGGACGAATAAAGAGGTGCTGGAAAGATGGAGGATAGAAGAGGGTTTTCTGTTTTGTTTACTTGCTTTGTTTTGTTTTGCTTTTTTCTTAATTTTTTTGAGGGGGGCACTGTAGGGGTGGGGATGGCAGGATATGGGAGGACTGGAAGGTGAGTGGAATTAGGGTGCATGCTGTGAAGTTCACAAGGAATCAATAAAGAAATTATGTTAGAAAAGATTAAGCAGGTGCGCATCCCCGTTGGATACTTATTTAACTTTTCAGTTCTGGTTGGTCTGGAAGTGTTTACTTTCTTGTTAATCTCAACTAACTGAAGCCACAATTCCAGCCATTCAGCATTACCATGATTGTGAATAAAATTGTGTTGGCAGAAATCTAAATTAGTATAAATTATACTAACAGTATGGTTTTGAACAACCATTAAGGGATTGTGCATTTTGTTTGCCTTTTGCTTTTTTGAGACAGGGTCTTACTTTTTAGACCTGGCTGACCTGGAACTTACTAGGTAGACCAATTGGCCTTAAGCTTCTAGAGATGTACCTGCCTCGGCCTCCTAAGTGCTGGTATTAAAGATGTTTACCACCATGCCCAGTATGGTGTGTGCTTTTTCGTTTGCTTGGTTTTGGTTTTGAAATGACTCTGTTGGGACTAATGAGTTCTGGCCTTCACTGCTCTTCCCTCCTAGAAGCTTCTAATTAAAGTTACTAGAAACTGTGCCTAGTTTAGAGGATCAGAGGACAGGATTATCACCTGTTGGCCATTGACTGCAGTGTATTTAAGCCTACATGGTGTTAATAAAGGGGGCTTTCTGAACAAGCGTTTGGAGGTCCGTGTGTCGGTCTGTCTCTGCGTGTGTATTCTCAACCTCCAGCCCCTTGCCCGAAGCTCGCGCACTGGGTTCTAGCGCACAGAGCGCAGACACGGGGGCGCGGTGTGCAGCAGACTCTTTTGGTAATTAAATTTTATTAATTATTTATTCATTTTTGTTGTTATTTTGCAACAATGTCTTACTGTGTTGCTCTGGTTGGCCTGAAACTCTAATGTAGACCAGGTTGGCCTAGAACCTGCCTCTGCCGCCAGAGTTCTACAATTAAAGCATCTAAATTTTAAATTGTAAAATACTTACTGATTGCAAAGATGAAAAGTATTTACACAGCTGCGAACTAGCAGATTCGGACCGTGAGTGAGACTCTGAGTCCTGTGATCAGGACTGTAGCCGGTCCTTTTTCCTGCCTTTTCAGGCCTCTTTCTCCCTATTTCCCCAAGCCCCCCCCCCTCCCAAATCCTCATGGTACTTGGCAGGTGAGTCTAGTCTTTGTTTTAACTGTGAATTAGTCTCTGCTTTAATTGTGAGTTAGTGGTGGCTTAAAATAACACATTTTTGCAAGTTAAATCCAACTGGAACTTGGCAAGGACAAGGCTGCGTTGCCTCATCTTAGCCCCAGTACATAGAAAGCCTTCTGATTGACAGCAGGTAGGAGAGACTGTACGCTGGACTGGATGTCCAGTGTGCAGTGTCAGAGGCGTTTGGTTGATCCCGGCACGGTTCGAACTGTCTTCACGGCATCTTATGGCTGACCCTCGGAGGCAAGTACAAGAATCAGGACGTGGTTCTTGGGATTCTGAAGGAGCCTGTGCTGAAAAGTTCCTGAGTCTTTGTTAGCACTGTGACCATGACTTCCAGGTTAAATTTAGAAGCAATCAACTGCTAAACATCTTGGTTCCTGCCTAAGGGTTTTCAGAAGAGGAGCTGAGACACTCAGCTGAATTACCAGGCTCTCGGTGGCTCAGCAAACACTTGAACACTTCCTGAGACTCTCTCTCTTCCTTCTGTCCTCCTCCCGTCCTTTCTTTTACATCCCAACCACAGCCTCCTCTCCCTCCTCTTGTCCCACTTCTCCCCTCTATCTGCCCCTCCTCTGCATTCACTGAGACAATCTGAATTTGATGGTTACAGATTTGATGAGCTGGAGTTACCTCAGGTGGGCCTCATTTGGTGTTTACAGTATTGTTAATTTCTTGGCATAAAGAACTTCCTTAGTCCTCAGGGAGGGAGAGAGGGGAAGAAAGAACACCTGTAATCCTAGCACTTGGGGGATGGTGGGAGGAGGACCAGGGTCATCCTCTTAGTGAGTTTGAGGCCAGCTTGGCCTAGGTGAGACTTGGTCTCAAAAATCCAAATATAAAAGCAAGTAAAGGTGAGCCAGCATTTATAGGAAAGTTTGTGAGTAGAAATTGCCCACTTCTGGCCAGGTGAAACATTTTGAATAAAGATCAGAGATTGAGAGCTTGTTCTGCCCACTTCAGCAAACCCCCAGGTGCCTTGGTGTGAGCGGTTTTAGCTGGTACCAGTTTATTTGACTGAAGACACTAACTCAACTGGTGACTTGACTGAGACGATCCAGAGTTGTGGATGCCGTAGTTATAAAAGTGAGACAAAGCCTTAGCCTCCTGGTGCTTCCGTAGCAAGACTTAGCAAGAAGCCGCACAGAGAGAATTGAAAACATGTGGAAATGGGGCAGGAGAGCGGGCTTGCCCGTTCTTACCTGCTTTTTCTTCTGGTGAAAATTACTGTCTCCTCACTCTCCAGGAGAGAAAACTTAGGGAATTAAGGAATTTCCCCCTGTCATCGAACGCAGATCCTCAGGCTGGGGGCCAGTCCTTTACCTGCTGAGCCATCCCACTGCCCTGGTTCTTTCAATGGAATCCTGGCATTGTTAAAAAGTCTTTGAGCTCAGTGTGCTAGCGCACACACTTGTATTTTTAACATTCAGGAGACTTAGGCAGGAGTACCTCAAAGTACCTCAAGTTTTAGACCAATCTGGTATTAAAACAGACCATGTCTCAAAAAAGCTAAGAAGTTTTTATCTTCCAGAGCTATGTGCCTAAATATTCGCTGACAAAATGTAAGTTAAGACTCAGAATTGGATAAGGAATAATCACAGGGAAAATATGTTCAATGGAAAATTTTTCTTTTGCAATAGGAAAACTACCCTAGGAATACCACCAAGAGAAATGACCAATCTCTCTGCAAACAACGAGAGTGGCCATGGTGGTGCACACCTTTAATCTCGGCACTCCGGAGGCTGAGGCAGGGGGATCTTCTATGAGCTTGAGGCCAGCCTGGTCTACACGGTGAGTTCCAGAATGTCAGAGTTACAAAATAGAGCCATGTCTCAAGAAGCAACAGCAGAAAGCAGCAAGAAAGGCGTGACATTTGCAAATGTTCCTAGATAAATATATAATAAGAAATAAATTGAGAAAAGGCGAGATTTTTTGTGGGTTTCATTTGTCGTTTGCTCTGAGACAGTTTCAAGCAGTCTGGCTGCATTACCAGCGCCTGTGCGGGCAACGCTGGTCTTAAACTTCAACCCCCCATCTTCACCTCCAAGTTCTGGGCTTTTCAGGCGTGTTCCGCCATGTCTAGCTAAGGTGACTTTATTATCATGTTGATTTCTGAAACATCCACCGTGATAGAATATCACCTAGCGTTGTTACAATTTAACTGCAGAGAGAGCCTTAAGCTAAGATTCATGCATAAGATCCAGGGCTTCTGTGAATTTGGATGGTGGAAACCTATCTTTCCTTCCGTTATGAGTGCAACTTGAGTTAAGATTTTCAGGACAGAAAGTGTTAAAGGGGGCTGTGCTTCTGACTGTGGCACCTTGGACATTTCCTGAATGCAGCTTCTCTCTCCAGCCCTGTTAGCGCCGAGGTGAGGGGCAATGGCTAGGTCGTTCATTGCTCGAGTCGTAGTCAAAGGCATTCCCGTGTGCACTGATCCAAACTTGAAAGCTTGATAAACTAGAACAGAATGGAACAAATATTAGTTTCTTTTTAGCTTCCTGATCAACTGAAGAAGCAGAGACATGCTTGCCTACATTGTCATGCTAAAGGCTGTGGCGTGTACTCAGTGTGGGAGCAGTTCTGGCCTACATAAGCCTTGGGTTCAATCTAAAATAAAATAAAATCCTGCCTTCCTTCCAGCCACTGGATACTAGAAAGCATTTATGTCTTTGAAACTGTGCACTCAAGACCACATTAGAAAAGACTGGGTGAATACGCATAAGGCAGAGCAGTGTGGTAAAGTGATCATCAGCCAATAAATAGGGTAAGGGAATTAGGAACCAAAGCAGTTACTCTTTAAAGAAAACATATTTTTATTTTAGTTGTGTGTCTGAGTGTATTTGCACACACATACAGTGCCCAGGAAGGCCAGAAGAGGGCATTGGATCCCTTAGAGCTGGAGTTACAGGTTACAACTGAGGGCCATCTGACACGGGTCCTGGGATTTGAATGCTGATGGCTGAGTAAAAGCTCTTAACTGCTGAGTCATTTCTCCAGCCCCAAATAGTCACTTTAAACAATGCCAATAAGAGCCAGCCATGTGACTTGAAAGACAGAAGCAGGAAAATGGCCACAAGAGCTGTCATGCATATTAATTGAGCTGTTCATGAGGCACTAAGTCTACACAAAGAAATTCAGGTAACTAAGGAATGCTGACAGCCAGAGACATAGTCTTCCTCGGGGAAGAGCACACCAATTGGTTACCCAATGCCAAATGGTCAGTCCTGAGAGGATACATGCAAGGAACATTCTATCGACTGAGCAGGTTATATTTAGTAATATATATACATACATTTATGTCTATGCATATACATATATATGCCTATAATAACAATGAAAAAGAGGTCCTGAATTTGAAAGCGAGCAAGGAGGGGTCTGGGGAAGATTTGAGGGGAAGGAGAAAAAGGAAATGAGAAGTGTTGTATTTAGAATCTCAAAAGTGGAGGATCTAGAATACGAATCCACACTCCATGGCCCAGAGTCACATCTGTCCCCACATAATATGCCTCTCAGATAAGAAGAGGCCTTCTCCTTGAGACACAGAACCACAGTGCACCTGCCTTGCCTCCCTTGTCTGGATGCCCTGCATGGGGGAAGGATGTCCTGAGCATATGAATGGTGAAGGTGCGGATTGCCTAAGAAACCACAGCAAACTATGCAGCAGGATTGACACTAGTCAGATTTTCATTCGAGTAGGAAACATCGCTAACACTTCAAACTGCTCGGAGAGGCTTGAGAGATGGTGCAGCGGTCGAGAGCACACAAGGGACCCAAGTTTGGTTCCCAGCACCTATGCCAGGCAGCTCACAACTGGCTATAATGCCAGCTCTGGGGGATCTGACACCCTCTTCTGGCCTCCAAGGATTCCAGAACTCATGTGCACGCACGTGTTGATGTTTAATTTAACATAATTTTTTATATCCCCAACTGTAAGAAAGCCCAACATTCAAATAAGTCATCAAAAATAAATATGAAGTTGTAGCCCAGAGCCTTCTGTGAATTATGCTATCCCAACAGCAGAATGGATAGCTGGATTTCACACATACACAACCTTATCCATTTTATATTGTTGAAATGGCATGCGTCTCATGACTCATTGATTATGGTTGCTAACTGTTTAGTCCTTGTGTCTCCCAAGGGCTCATTAGCTCCATGCATTAGCCCGTTACCTGTTCACTGCTACAGAGGGGCCTGGCAGCCAGCAAGTGCTCAGTAAGTGGACAAGGAGTGACCGGGTGAGTGTGTTTTCCTGTGTAGGCTGAGGACTTTAATAAGGTGACAATAAGACCATGGGCGAAAGGAGACCATGGGGAAAGATGGGATCGTGGTTGCTTTGATCCACACGAGATGATAGAGAATACACAAGAGTGGAGTGTTCTCAAAGTGCTGAGCAGAGAACCGTGGTGAGCATCCTGAAGAGATGCCCAGATCGATGAGAACTGGGGTGGAGAGAAAGCAGCTACAGCAGAGAAAGAGCGGAATCCCATCTCCCCTGGAATGACAGGGCCAAGGGGACTCTGAGGAAGTCCGCCAGGGAACAGGCAGCTGCCCGGCTGCTGGCAGCGCTGTTAATTCAGTGGAGAAATGGATGCTGTCACTCAACACTGTCTCCAGAGGAGGAGCCCTCTCATCCGTCTTTTGTTCTGAGAACAAAGAGGCCCCAGTTTCATGAGTGTCCCAACGAGACTCCCAAGAGCCTGGGCTGGACGATCAGAAAGAGGCTGCCTGTTCTGAAGCTGAGGTCTCGTCGCAAGAACCAGCACGGGAAGAACCGACTCTGGAGAGTTGTCCTCTGATTCCTTTACGTGGGGCTGACCCACTCCACACTGAATAGTGAAAAGGGAAAACAGTGGAATAAAAACTTTCTTAGTATTAGCAAGTATTTATTCATGTTAAGTAGCTTTCCCATAACTAATTAAGTTAGGTCTCAAAAATGTCCATGCAGAGCCTTCATGTTCTTTCCTCTTTTTTTGGTTTGAGTCTGACTCCTCAGCCTGGGACTTAGCCAAACATATGGGAACCTTTTTCTTTCTTTCTTTCTTTCTTTCTTTCTTTCTTTCTTTCTTTCTTTCTTTGTTTTGTTTTGTTTTGTTTTGTTTTGTTTTGTTTTGTTTTTTTGAGACAGGGTTTCTCTGTGTAGCCCTAGCTTTCCTGGAACTCATTCTGTTGATCAGGTTGGCCTCAAATTCAGAGATCCACCTGCCTCTGTCTCCCGAGTGCTGGAATTAAAGGCGTGTGGCCCCACTGCCCAGAGGGAACCTCTTTCTAATGTGTACCATTAAGCTTCCTTTGGTACCAATCTCATAGCTTGATGGCAATTCCAAGTCCTAGCCAACTGGACTCAGACTCCTTCGGAGGACAGCAAACCACAGCATCAGAGCGGGTGAAGTCACTAGACATTTGAAGTCCTCTTGTGCCCTACCTGGACACACAGGCTCCATCTGCCCCCAGTGTTTGTTACTCCTGTAGTTTGGGTGTAAGCTGTCCCCTAATTCTTTGTGTTAGGAGCTCGTTGGGAGATGCTGTTGGGTGATAGTGTGGAATCTTAAAGACATAGAGAGTCTAGACCAGGCTCATGTTTCCTGAGAACTGAGGCAGGAGGATCACTGCCAGTTCAGGACCAGCTAGGATGACATGGTGAGAACAGATGTCCACGGGTCACTGTGGGGCTGCTACAGAAGGAGGTTAGGTCATTGTCCCAGGACGTCTGAGCTCCCTGTGAGCGTGAGTTATGGCCGAGCCCAAACCCTAAATCGCTCCCCACTTCTGTGTGACCATGCCATCTCCTCCTTTAGCGTATGTCCCTGTTCTGTGCTGGCCTTTGCTGTAAAGCCCTCCATGCTACATGGATTTTCAGTCTCCCAAACTGAGCTAAATGAACACAACAACAAAATCTCATTTTGGGTGTTTTATTGTAGTAACAGAAACTGGACTAATTAGCACAGGAGGTACCATATAGCAGAGAAAGCAGGTTTTGTAACCTGACATCCACAGAAATTTAACCTGAGGAAGAGCTGGTAGATAGAGGGGGTGTATGTAATTAAGAGACTTTAAGTACTTGATTGACCAATTAATTAGTTTTTATGTTTTTATTTGTAGATAAGTCTTATATAGCCCAGACTGACCTCAAACTCTTTATATAGCTGAGGTCAACCTTGAGCTTCTAATTCTCTTACCTCCACCTGTCTCAAAAACAAAACAAAACAAAACCAACAAACAAAAGCCCCAAAGCAAAATAGTGAAATCAAGTAAGGCCCAAACAAACTTGGGGATAAACTCCTTGAATAAAGGGTTTGAGCTGTTTTTCCAGAACCCATTCAAGGAAGGTTTGAACCTGGCTAATCAATTGAATATTCATGCCTCAGAACGGGTGGTGGTGTGTGCCTGAAACTCCAACACTTTGGAGGCAGAGACAGACAGATCTCTGTGGATTCCAGGGCATTCTGGACTATATAGTGTGACCATGTCTGAGAGGAGATGGGGGTCAGGATTTCATCAGGTGGCCCATCGAATACCTTGCGGTCTGGTTCCGCAGCCTCTGCAGACTGGGGACAGGGATTTAATTTGTCTCCTAGGTATAAGTCTGAATAAACGTGGGTCTTAATTCACAAGTGAACTACAAACCCTGACCATAATCCAGTCTCCTAGGCTTTGTCTGTGTGTGGTCTTCAAATGGGTGGCTCCCAGTCACCATCCTGTCATACGGTCCACAGTCTGTCCAGCGGCAGGAGGGACACTTGTTTATTACCTATGCGCTTTGGTCTGCCTGTGGGAAATATAGATTTTGTGGTGTGATGTCACTTTTGGCCCACGAACAAAGGAAGAGAAAAGTCTGCCGGGATTCACAGAGTGAGACTCGCACAAAGACAGGGGACAGGCCCTACCTGTAGCTGACCTGGATGACAGGCGGAGCCTGCGTGACGGGAACAGAAGTCAGTGTCTCCCAAAGCTTCTCACCTCACAGCAGCCCTCCCTGTGAGTGACTGCGCATGTGTACCAGTGATACACAGGCCGACTTGCGGTGGTTACTATGATGTCCTGTTGTTAAGCCTCTACCCCTTCCCACGACAGCAGCATTCAACCCTTAGTTAATCCCACTTCTCTGGATCCTGGCCCAGAAACAACCACAACCTAGAAAAGTCTTCAGAACCCTTCAGTGGGGTGCAATCCTGGTGGAAGATGCTTGCTTCCTTTCTTTTGCCCTCTGATTGTCTTCTCCGTACCAGGCCAGTGTGTCCCAGAGTCCCTGAATGAAGTCCATAGAATAGGGGTGTAGGTGGAACTTTCCTGTCCTGGGAGTTGCTTTCAAATTACCACACCGAAGTGTGCATTAATTGTAAATGCTCGGCTGATAGCTCAGGCTTATTACTAACTAGCTCTTACATTTAAATCAACCCATGTCTATTAATCTGTGTTCTGTCACATGGCTCATGGTTTTAGCACATCTTGTTCCCCTG